TTATTTGTTGCCTTAACATCTTCTAATCCCCAAAGAGGACTGAGCATTACTAAGTAAGTAAACACGCATTACAGGAAATGGGAGAAGGGGAGAAATGAGAGCCATCCCTACAATCACAAAACTAAAGGTTACGTGCTTGGCGTGTCAGCCATCAAAATGTCCTAAGTACCCATACCAGACAGACAAGGAGGATGTTTTATTAGGTTGCTCTCTCAGATAAAGTATCAGCAGGATCTGAAAGGCTGGCACACTTGCCTCTGCTTTTTAGTTTCAGTCTGTAAGTTTGTAGACTCCATACGCTCCTCAAAACATCCACAGTCTGAATGAAAGCAATGAGTAATGAGCAAGGCTTTTACCCCAACGCTTCCCATAGCTATGGATTAAAGGTTTGGATCTCTGCAACCTTGGTTGCTCAAGCACCTAAATCTAATACCCCAGCTCAAGTGCTCCAGCACCATAACAGGCAAGAGCATTAACAAAGCTCAGGGCTCAAAAATAAGTGAGTTCCTGCAGTGTAATGAGTTACTCACTAAGCATCGGCAGAGCCAGATGCTCTCGGCCTGTCACATATTTGAGGAAAAATGTGTTCATTGAAATGTCAGCAAAAAAGATTTAAGATAATGCATTTTTGCCGTATGCTTGTGAGGGTCTGGAAGTATGCATGTGGTTGAGCCTCCAGCCTCGGCGAACACACAGTGACTCTTTAACCAACAGTAACTCGATTATCTGTCTGAGCCCTGAGCTGAACCGCAGCAGTCACTTCAGATTAGAATCCAGCGCGAGGCAGAGGGCTGTCAGAGGGTCTGTAAATTTAACTTCTTAAATTGCAAGTGAGAAACAGCGTTTTCCTGAGGATTTACTCTATAGAGTCACAGCGTCAGCACTTTGGTTAAGAAAGGCATATTGTCTCTTTAGGGAGAGTGAAGAATTTCCCATTTCACAGTTTTTCTGTGAAAAGTGTTCTGTGCACGGCTGCTGATGTGCTGTTCTCCTGGCTGCACACTGGGCTGGCAGGTATTTCTCTACCGTACTGAGAAAGGGAAGCAAGCCGTTCTCCAAATTCCCTCAGCCACATGAAACAGCTGATTCACGAGTCGGTGGCCTGGTGCATACTCTCCACCAGCATCTGAGTTGCTCCAAAGCCCTGTATCAGCGAGAAGTGAAGCGGTGTGGCTCCCGTCCAACAAAGTGCTCCTGGGTATGCTTGCTCAAGGTCAGGGACACTTGAAGTATGTGCTCTGCTGTATTTAGCACATTACAGGTTGGAACACCACGATAACATGATAAGAAAAGACAAAAATCACTCATAATTTCAGACTGCCAAGTTGCACTCAGACTGCCTAGATCTCATGTCTGTATCTAGAGCCCTGATAATAATGCTGTTGACATTTTAATCAGTGTATGCATCGGGGAAAGGGATTTCATGCCCATTTCCCTCAAACAAACAAACACCCCCAAAGCATTATCAGCAGTTCTCTTACCCCTTCATACACAAACTTTGACACCTGCAAAGCTCTGTATACTGAAGATAGCCCCTTGGTTCAGCCAGCATCGTCAGAAGCCAAGCAGATAAGTAGGAACCATGTAAGGGTCACAAAGCCCTTTGAGAAAATTGATAACAGCAAGTTGGCAACCTGCATAGACAATCCAAATTCTTCCATAAGATCTTTACTTCACAATACCTCGTAGAGTGTATAAAGCTACTTGAAAAGGCCATCCCAAATGATTGCTTGATTAGGGGGCTCAGGGCAGAGCCAGGGCTCCAAAGCAAACAAGTTGTTGCCCTAGCCCTGGAGAAGATGCTTTGGGTGAATACATTGTTTTTCTTCACTCCCTGGGCAGCAGTACTTATGAAAACTGTAGACAGGGTGTGTTTTTTTTGCATACAGAATGCTTTTACGATGCTTCTAACTGGCAGTAAATCCAGATGACTCTATTACAACCCCAAATTATTACAGCTGTCTCAGTTCACGGCCACTGGATGTCACTACTGATCCATTTCAGAGGACCAGCAGAGTTTTATGAGAGCAAAACAAAAGCCTTCCTAATTTGGAGAAAATGAAATACTATTTCACTTATTAATATTGTTTATGAGAACTCATTAGCTCATTCTCCCAAGCCAGCACCGCGTGTCTGTCACCTTGCCTACAAACGCAGAGGAGCACATTTGCAGGAGGGTTTCCTTGGGGTGCCAGACAGCTTCTCACAGGGGAAGAGGCCTTGAGATGGAGGGGAAGAAACTTCCTGAGTGATCACACCACGTCAAGATCAGCGTGGAAACAGCAAGGACAGCATGGAGCAGGAGCACATCAGGGCTGATGTGCTGGGGGACCCCCAACGTGGGTGCTATGAACCTCCTCTGTTTGCCAGGAGCTGCTGCTAAGGACCAGCCAACCACCTCTCTTTTTCTATTAATCTGCTTCTTTTCTTGGGGATAAAAGATTGATCCTGTGTGCTATAAATTTTAAAATGTGGTAAAAAGAAAGCAGCTGCCAAGTCATTAAAGCTCAGTTCTCTCTAGATCAGTTTCACTGCACAGGACACTTGCATAGACATCGAGTGAGAGGCAGGTCTGCCTCTGAAGGCTTGCGACGAAGGAGGTAACAGAGATGAAAAGATCTTTCTCTGTGATATTCTTGATCTGATCTGCTCTGCTGGCATCCCCACAGAGAAGAAGGGATGAGCAGATGAAATGCGGCACCAGGGGGGAAAAGAGAAGACATCAAGATTTGGATGAGACTGGGGTTTGACAGCAAGAAAGGGAAACAGAAGGAGCTCCCTGGAAATATTATATAGAAAACATCATGGAATTCAGAACCAGCCTTGCTTCCCTGAGATAGCAGGCCAGATCCTACGCATTTACACATTAAATGCAGTGCTCTGGCATCACCTACCTGCCCAACCAGTGCAGCACCTTGCTGAAGGCTCTGCCAGACCACCCTGCACCGCCTGAGAGTCCCAGCCCACGTCAGGGTCACTCAGCACTTCCCAGAAGAAGAAGCTATTTCCCATTCCGTACAGCTTCGCGAAACTTTCATCATTCAAGCTGAAAATTTCTGTTAGATTTCTGCCTCAAGCTGGAAAAAAAGAGGGGAGAAACTATTAATCTATTTTCAAGAAAGAAAATTGAAAGAGAAATCACATATACTCAGTACAGACTTATAAAAATTAACAACTGGACTCTTCTAAGATGTATCCCCTTTAGGCAAGCAGGGGTCCCCAAGCCATTTATATGCCAGCCTCAGATGCTCCAGTGATGGGAAAGTGGGGTGCAGACTTGTGGTTTCATTGCTGCTCCTAGGTGCTGTGGTCTAGGACCAGACCACTCACCAAAACTGGAATAAAGACCCTGTCTTTCTTGGGCTTGCCATCATCTCTGCCCCTCTGGCCTCTGGTTAGGCAAACAAGGAGAGGTGAGTAAATGTGAACACATGGGACAGGAACTGGGGCAAGAAGAGAAGAACTGGTGTGATGATTTGGGTGAGACTAGGGTTTTTATGGGGAGGGGAGAACCTGGGACCAGACAGGCTTGGAAGCTGGTCCTACATGGGAAGCCATGAAGACAGCCTGGGAGGAGAGAGAAGGACAGGACCAGTTGGTTAGAGGGATGGAGAATTGATTTTATGCTCAGGATGGAATTAAGTTGCTACAGGCAACCCAAAACGATTGCCTTTGAACTCCTCCTTGACTCCTTGAAGTGTTGTGAGTAATTTTCAGAGTGTGTATCTTCCTGTTGCGACCCAGCTTGGGGTGGCCTGTCGTTCAGGGTGGCTCAGTTATTTTCAGCAGCTCGGGACTGCTGAGCTTAGGGGTTCCTGAGCTCCACAACAGGCTCTAGAGGAGCAGAGCGTGGCCTCAGTGTCCTCACCCAACCCAGGAGACTGGTCTGGCGGCAGGTTCCATCAGCTTGATGGATGACTTGTGGTGACATACCCAGACAAAGATAGCAGCGGCTAACTCCCAGTTATCTAACGGTGCCGTGGATCTAACGGGGCTGTGCTGAGGCTCTCCCAGTCACCAGGCTCTGCGGCAGCCTACCAGCCCACTGAGCTCATCGGAAACCTGAGAAACTCGTCTGATTTCTGCTGGGAGGTTCATTTTGATTTAATCAGCCTGGCAGGTTGCCAGTGGAATTTATTTTTTTTTTTCTCTCCGAAATTTCCAGCCAGTTTTAGCGAAAGCTAAAGGATAACACGAGGAGGTCTTCTGCACAGCTCCTTTTCGCCTCCTATTTCCTTACAAGTGGAGCAATATTAATGCCGCGGGGAAATGACATTACATGCAGAGCTAGATTAATGTCATGGGAAATGAAGGAAGGACCTACCTGTAACAGCAGAGGGGATACACAGGGCAGGTACTTCAGTTAATCAGCTGCCTTTGCACAGGAAAAAAAAAAAAAAAAAAAAAAAAAAAAAAAAAGCAGCAAGACCATACATATGGGATCTGTCCTTTTCCTCTGCTAGCGGAATAGCTACTTTCTTTTTGAAACCAGTGAAGCAGAGCTCACTTTGCCAGTATGACTGGGAACATTGCTGGAGGGAGGAAGAAGCACAAGAAGAAAAAAAAAATCAACCAGAAGACACAATGGTATTTTGGCCAGAATTTTGCTCCATCGTTCCAGACTCTGTATTTCTTTATCTGGCCCACACCTTAGCCCCATGACATTGCAGTGACTGTAGGTGTTAGAAACTTTTTAACACAGAAGAAAACACTGTGAGTGGATGTTGGGAACCAAAGCCAGCAACCCTGATGTTGTGCCAACACATCCTTCAGGCCCACCAGCAGTCCCATTGGTTTCACTGGGATTACTCGTGGGGTAAGGAGCTACCCAGCCTGAGGCAGTGAATCTGATCCCTCGTTTTCAGCTGAAGATGTAAACTTTGGGACAAAGATCATTCAATTTCTCAGAGGCTCAGTCTGGCTTTTGCTCGAGGTAGGGGGAAAGGTGACCACTCTGTAAAGCAGCACAGTGCCAGAAAGCCATTCATCAGTCTGAAAAAGGAGACTTAATATCAAGTTTAAATCCCATTTTCATCAACCTCACTTCAAAATCACACCATATATTAGCCTAATAAAGACGAAATTTCCTAACAAAAAAGCAAGGAGGGCTGGAGCTGGTCGGAGCTTTCCCAGAGTCACTGGCAGGGTCCTTCCTTCCCTGCTCCTCGCAGTCAGCCTGGCAGAAAAACCCCGAACACCTTAACACCAACTGCACAGGCTCCCTCCTTTCCTGGAAGCATTTCTTTGTCCTGTGGAAACCTGAATGCATACAAAACTATGCAAGGAGTCCCCACCAGTTCTCATTATGAGTGGTGTAAAGGATGCCAGATGATTATCGGAGGCCTTCCCACCGAACCCACAGCTTCAGGGGGACGCAGGGAGGCTGGCAAGATAGGGAAATCCTGTGGCCAAAAGCTTTTGGAGCGAGCAGTTTCTCCTCCCACTTGCAGAGACCACACTTAGATTTTTGTGGTGTCATAAATATGCTCTTTAGTGTGCGCACTAATAGGTCTCTGGAACACATCTGGGTTTGGTGGCTCCGGACCCCGAGGCGTGTGCATGAAGGCGAGGTAAGAAGTGTCCGCTGTGTGTGTGTGCCCAGGGGGCTGCCTCTGTGTCTGCTGGGGCTCAGTGCTGCTCGGTTTGATAACCCCTGCTGCTAATGCAACCTGCTACCTGGGCAGCTGTGGGAGGTAGAAAAGAGTTTTCTATCCCTAGCCTTGATTACTGTAGCTTATGTGTTACATATAGGGTGGGTAAGTTACTACTGTAGGGACAAAACTTATCAAAACAGACCTCTACAGCCTGGTAGGTTATATAGCCACTTACGCATGTAATGGGAATAATATATTCTCAAATTTGCTGGTATAAATATAACTGATAGTGCCCTGCTTCCCCTCAGTACAGTGATTTTATGCCACAGAGTGCTACTTAAGAGAAATGGTGCAAAAATCCCAAACTGCAGTCTTAGATCCCCTCTCCAGGCATATTAAATCCCTTTCCATGGGGAGGGGAACTTCTGTCTGTGCTATCTTGTGATGCTTGTGGCTTTTGAGAACTGTCTTCAGCCTTGGTTGTAAGGTCCTTCCCCAGAAAGAAAATCAAAAATAAAGATATTTAGTAGGCTTTCTTTGAGATGTGGTGTAGGAAGACAGCAGTCCCCTGTTGGGGAGAGGCATTGAGGTTGGCTTTAACGATTTCCTTCATGTTGAAAGGAAAGTTTAGATTGCTGTGCCCTCAGTGTGAGAGTAGAAGAAGTGATATCTTTTTAGGTAAGTGTTAGGAGGTAGGAAAGAACCCTGCAATAACAACCTGCCTCATAAGTGAGATGTTGGATCTGTAACCAAACAAAGAGGGAACCTGAGTCACAGGAACATTTTGTATTTATAGGGCAGCTTTCATCGGAGAATTTGAGTGTTTTACCAACTCGGAGAGCCAGGGGTAAACACACAAACTTACCCCAAGTCCGGCTTCCCTCGGCGATGTCATGGAGCCAAGCCGTTAAGGAGCACAGAGTAAGGAACTGTTTCGGTATGAGTAAGAGGACAGAATTTGGCCCTACACACTTAACTTTCACATCTCCTTTCCCCCATAAAGGAATGTTTACCTCCACTTTATAGATCGGTAACTGATGCACAGAGATCCTAGGGAGGTTGTCCAAAGTCACAAATTGAGAAAGTTAATGAAAAAGGACCCAAGAGTTTTGACTTTGTGCTCTAACCCCAAGGAAAACTTAATTTGGCACCAGCAGCTGCTTGATCTTTAGGGCTTCTGCATGAACAGGGAGTAGTTTGCTTAATGAAATAATATCCCAGGCACATATGAAGAGCAATTACTTGCTCTCATATAAACTCTCATGTATTCATCTAGAAAAAATGTTCATGACTCAGTCATCTGGGATGGTTCAAGCTACTCACCCTCCAGCATGAGGCGTAGGCATTACAGTGGTGAAGTTGAAAAGGAAGACACATGACCTCAATTACTCACAAGGAGTCAAATTATGATCTCAGATACAGTGGTATAAATCTAGAGTCATTCCCCCTGAAGTAATTGGCATGATACTGTATTTCTTTAACATAGGGGAAATCAGAATGCAGTCTATAATCTCAGTATGTCTGTGGAGCTTTATTCAGAAAGTCTATGCTCTCCAGCAATGTATTATTAGTTATGGAGAAAAATAAGGTTGGAAAACGTTCAAGGTAGAAAAATGTACTGAGTTTCCCTGTAGCAAGAGCAACAATTTATTACCGAGTTTTGACAGGGTAAGTAGTAATGATTTTCCTTTTTTTTTTTTTTTTTTTTTTTTTTTTTTTTCATCAGGATTTCTCTGCTTTTTATAAACATTTAAGTTAACTGCTATACAGAAAACTTCATAAGGGAATATCCACTTGGAATCTTATCTTTAATCCCTCATTTTCACATTTAATATCATAAATGGTGAGGAAGGGAGGGTTCTGACTTCAGAAAGATGAGGAAAATGAGGAACTTACAAATTTACAGATGGAGGATGGCTACAAGCATGGACCTAGAACCAGGGACATTGTGAGTTCAGAGGAAAGAAAGATTGATGTAACAACTACAATGAAGAGTCCCGGTGGGACATCTGAAATTGTATAAAACTGTTTCCATCAGCGCAGAACAAAGGACCTACGGCTTTAAGAGCGGGGACACTGGATTAAGCCCAGCAGGAGACCGAACAGCAGTGTATTATAAATAGACCCTCCATTTATAGTCCCGAGCTTTCAGTAACCACGATGTTCTCAGCCTTACGGTTCTAGCAATTTGGAACTGATAGATGAGGACTTTACCCCCTTGGGACTGTGGCAAACCTGGCAGAAATTAAGAGGGAAAAGCTTCAGATTGACCAAAGAGCCCTCACTGCAGGCACCTCATGATGTTCCAATACATCAGGCAACCCAGCCTTTTTACAAATATTTACATTTTTAACATTTTCTAAGCCTCCAGAGGCAGTCCAAACACGGTATAAATTATATTACCCGCAAATTCTATGAGTAGAGTGCAAAGGGACACCCAGGGGACCTTCCTGAAAAGCTGTGGGTGTTCGGGAGAGCTGCAGGACAGCCGGGGAACAGCCTGTCTGCCCCAGCTGCTGTCCTGGAGGGAACACGGCACACGCTGCTTCGCGGGCATACATCACGGATCCTGGCTCATCTTCCAGATATTGCCCAATTCGGATGCCTTCCTGAAAAACATTGGCACACATATCTCCTAGATGGCATTTCTAGGCGTGCAGGAGGCATACATACGCACCAGTAAATTAGGAAACTTGTAAGCTTAGGGAAGTGATACCTGTATTACACGCAGGAATGTAAAGCAGGAATATTTACACATGCACAAATTGTAGATGTTGTGATGTGGATTCAAATTTCTTTTTGAAAAATGCAAGAGCAGATGTGTTCTGGAGTGCAGAGCAGGTCCAGGGGTGCCATTAGGAGAAGCTCCAGGGTAGGTGATTAAGAAGCTGTTTGCACTGGCACTGCTGAAATACTGGAGCCTTCTGCCTCTTTTCAGACAGGCTTTGTAACAACTTGAAATGTTTTTTGTGGCAGATCCAAGAATAGTAAGCCTTTCCCAGCACTGAGTACAGTTGAAACGACAGCTTGCAGTCACTTGGTATGTGAATGGGAGCCGTGTAATTAATGCCTCGCTGTATCCACATCAGTCGAGACTTCTGCTATGAAACTTCCACGTTTCTGGTTCTCCTGGCAGAAAAGGAGTGGAGGTGGACTAATACCACACAGCACCCACCTCAGTTTAGCTAAATGTGATATGCTGTTTCTCCATGATATTTCAAGATCAAAGCTGTGTCCTGCTCTGTTTCAGGTCTGGCACTGTGTGTATGCAAATGCATAAAACAAACAAACAAACAAAAGTGCTTTAGCTAAGTTTCCAATGCTACTACAGTAATGAGTGTTTTTGAAGCCTAGTCAACATGCAATTTTATACAATATCAGTTCAGGGCTGATCTTGTTATTATTATTATTACTGAAATAATAGTCATCCCATCATTGCACATCTGCAGTGTGCAATGCTGTTACCAGAGCAGGTGCTGGACACCACACAGCACATTCCATCCTCCCCTGATAAGCTATCTGCACTCTGGAGAAGCACTTCTGCTTTCCCTGGGGAGAGAGGGTTAAAGCAGTACGACTTGGCAGTGCAAACAAATCAATAATCAGGAACTTTCCTGGGAGATGCTCCCTAAGCATCGCTGTGTTATTGCTAACTTGTCACAGTGCTGATTGTACAGCTGGGAGCAGTGTTTGGCATGAGCACAGTTATGTTACCATTGCTCAAAAACCTTCCTGGGCTCTTCAGAGCAGCATCAAGTAGGAGGGAGGTTGCCACCAAGATGATTACTTTTGCCTGGATCTGGTTTGAATGAAAAGGAACAGAACTGCAAAACCACATGGACTATTGCTACTCAAAAATTCCTGGGTGTGGGGGTGGTAGAAATGCAGGTGATGAGTGAGGAGCAGAGGTGATCCTGATTCTGTTATGGAGAAGCTCCCCCACGAGACTCGTATGTTGCAGTGCTTGGTGGGTGCAAGCATCCCTGAAGGAACACGGGTGGCATGGGATGGGCTGCAGGGTGGGCTTGGGCCTGAACACATTGGGTGAGGAAGGAAGGGTGGGTGCATGTTAATAACCTGCTGCTTTGGTAGATGAATACCTGCAGGCACACAAAATGTGCTTCTTCTGGCCCGGGCCCCAGCACAAAGGTACCAGTAGTGGTCCTTTGGCTAGCCAGCCACATCTGGGCATCTCCAAGCCAGAGAGAGGCAGCAGGACACACAGCAGCTTCATGAGGTGATGGTGACTGTGAGGTGGGAGCACCTAAAAGACCCTGAGATATTAAAACATACCCTGTAAATGCCAAGAACATGTTGACAGTTATGGGTTTGCTGCTGGGAGAAGGTCGTGCAGTATAGGACAGTTTTTACCAACAGTCAGGATTCTGCTCATAAGAACCTTTAAGGAAAGGAGGTTTAGCTGTGATGTTTAATTGGGTATTTATTTAATGTGCCAGAGCCGACAGGTGCAGTTAATTTGGAACTGCTGAGGACACATCAACACGTGTAAAGTTAAGGCAGTTATTGCAGAGAGGAGAGAAGGAAGGGGAAATAGTGTGTATTAGCATAACTAGCTCCTCGCACATCCTCTCTTGCTTTTGAATAGTATCTGAGCCCTATGGGCTGCTGCCAGCAAAATAAAACAATGATCCCAGCCCTGTGGGTGTGCAATTATTGATTTACTCACAGCTAGTTGTGTTAAATGCGTCCTTCCACTGTGAGAAAGAGTTATTGAGCACACAGTGGTGTAAGGCTGCAGTGCCATTATTATGCTATATGAGTTACTCATAAAGGCATCTTCAAAATGTCTTTTTTTAGGCATTTCAACCACTTTATGGAAACCCATCTGGAAATAAATGTAGCTGGTCTAATGTATGTAATGAATTTAATGTGCTGTTCTTCCACATTAAGAAAAAATCTAATAGGATGATTGAGTGGGGCCAAACTTCTCCAGGAAATTCCTTCATAATACATGA